GAGCGATCTTTCACGTCAAGGCGATCTGTGACACGAGTGGGTGGGGTGGAGGACGTCTATTGATAGGGAGCACACCCCCCCCCCTCACCCCTGTCGTGTTCGGATATAGAGTTACTTAAAATCAGGTATGCAGGGAGAGTGGAAGACCTTTCCACCAGGTAGACCTACAGGAGAAAACAAAACAACACTCTTTATCCCACCCACCCCCATCACCCAATCCATCAGTTAGTGGGTGCCAATGGGACGGTTGAATTTAAAGTTATCAAGTTCTGTGTAATGTAACTTGTACCTACACAACACAATGAAAGTGTCAAGCGTGGTAGATCTATATGGTTGGCGCTTCAACCAATCTATTCTAATCTGGAAAATGTATATAATTATGAAAGCTAAATGTCTACAATCATGAAAGCTAAATGTCTACAATTATAAAAGCTAAATGCCTACAATTATGAAAGCTAAATGTCTACAATTATAAAAGCTAAATGACTAAAATTATGAAAGCTAAACGTCTACAATCATAAAAGCTAAATGTCTATAATTATGAAAGCTAAATGTCTACAATTATAAAAGCTAAATGACTAAAATTATGAAAGCTAAACGTCTACAATCATAAAAGGTAAATGTCTACAATTATGAAAGCTAAATGTCTACAATCATGAAAGCTAAATGTCTACAATCATGAAAGCTATATGTCTACAATCATGAAAGCTAAATGTCTACATCATGAAAGCTAAATGTCTACAATCATGAAAGCTAAATGTCTACAATCATGAAAGCTAAATGTCTACAATTATGAAAGCTAAATGTCTACAATCATGAAAGCTAAATGTCTACAATCATGAAAGCTAAATGTCTACAATCATGAAAGCTAAATGTCTATAATCATGAAAGCTAAATGTTTACAATTATGAAAGTTTAAGCTAAATGTCTACAATTATGAAAGCTAAATGTCTACAATTATGAAAGCTAAATGTCTACAATCATGAAAGTTAAATGTCTACAATCATGAAAGCTAAATGTCTACAATCATGAAAGCTAAATGTCTACAATAATGAAAGCTAAATGTCTACAATCATGAAAGTTAAATGTCTACAATCATGAAAGCTAAAATTCCACAATTATGAAACCTAAATGCCTACAATCATAAAAGCTAAATGTCTACAATTATGAAAGCTAAATGTCTACAATTGTGAAAGTTAAATGTCTACAATCATGAAAGCTAAAAGTCCACAATTATGAAACCTAAATTTCTACAATCATGAAAGCTAAAAGTCCACAATTATGAAACCTAAATGCCTACAATCATAAAAGCTAAATGTCTACAAAAAAAACATGAAACCTAAATGCCTACAATCATAAAAGCTAAATGTCTACAATAATGAAAGCTAAATGTCTACAATCATGAAAGTTAAATGTCTACAATCATGAAAGCTAAAAGTCCACAATTATGAAACCTAAATGCCTACAATCATAAAAGCTAAATGTCTACAATTATGAAAGCTAAATGTCTACAATTGTGAAAGCTAAATGTCTACAATCATGAAAGTTTAAAGTCCACAATTATGAAACCTAAATGCCTACAATCATAAAAGCTAAATGTCTACAATCATGAAAGTTTAAGCTAAATGCCTACAATCATGAAAGCTAAAAGTCCACAATTATGAAACCTAAATGCCTACAATCATAAAAGCTAAATGTCTACAATTATGAAAGCTAAATGTCTACAATCATGAAAGCTAAATGTCTACAATCATGAAAGCTAGGATCTCTGACAGGAAGTGTCTGGGTTACATCAATGTAAGACGTAGTTGCCTTGTGGGAACCATTTGGACAAAATATCGGAAACAAAACCAATCAGATTCATTTTGTACTGAACTATCTAGCTAACATTTTGTGCGAACAGAGAAGAAATAAAATAAGGAAACAGATGAGTGGGGAGGGGGGGGGGTGTGCTTATAAATCGGAATGAATACGTGAAATACAATTTGCAAACAATCGAAAAAGATCCGGCAGGATTAAAACGAAGTAGGTATAACCAAGACATTAATTTTGTGTTGAATTTATCGCAAGATCGTCATGCTACAACAAGGTCACCGAGTACATAAAAAAAAGGCAATTTAGTGTCATTAAATCTGGGAGAAAAAAAATAAACGTTTTATAAAATTACGTCTTTTTTTTTCCAACCTCAACATCATCAACGGTTAAAACAACAGTGGAAGCTAAATTACCATCATCAAAGTAGAAACAACACAACTTATTTTAATTGCTACTTAGGCAGGTCTTCAATCGATGAAATAACAAAACAATAGCTGAGTCGGTGGAATGTTCTTTATAGGGCCAAACATTACAAAAAAACAAAAAAAAAAACAACTGATGAATTGATCGTCCAGGGGAGGCAATTCGTAATGATGAATGGATCGATCCTGAAAAAGGGAAAGAACTTTTAATGCTCAATGATTGTTATAGTCCTGTCTGAGTGGAGCTTTACTTCGGGTCGGGCTAAAAATAAACGATACAATCAGTCTTTTGTGACAGGAAACTATTTAGTACTTCCTTTGATGTTATTTTTTTTTCTTGCACCTTTTGAGAAGGGATTTGACGTGTTCAAAATAATTTATGCACAAAATACAACAACCAATCAATAAGTAGGTTATTTTGACTATTATATCATATATTGTAGAGTGAAAGAAGAGTGAAAGAAGAAAATTATTCATTAAAGAAAAATAATCGCTCAGGTTTCTAAAAAAATCTTTTTTTTTTTAAATGCTTTTTCTCTAACAAAAAATTACATTTGAACATTTGAGATGGCAGGACATTGTGCTAAAGCTGATAAGTTGTATGGGTTTACCAACATATGGTGCAGGACATTGTGCTAAAGCTGATAAGTTGTTGTATGGGTTTACCAACATATGCTGCAGGACATTGTGCTAAAGCTGATAAGTTGTTGTATGGGTTTACCAACATATGGTGCAGGACATTGTGCTAAAGCTGATAAGTTGTTGTATGGGGTTACCAGCATATGGTGCAGGACATTGTGCTAAAGCTGATAAGTTGTTGTATGGGATTAACAGCATATGTTGAAGGCCATATAATAAGAATACATTCTCATGCTGTTCTCTGACAATAGTTATGGTTTAGTGGCCCACTAGTGACCCCTTTAATGACCCTCCTGTTGACACCTTTAATGAATCTCTGGTGACCCCTTTAATAACCCTCCGTGATCCCTTTAATGACCCTCCTGTTGACACCTTTAATGAATCTCTGGTGACCCCTTTAATAACCCTCCGTGGCCCCTTTAATAACCCTCCATGACCCCTTTAATGACAATCCTGGTGACACCTTTAATGAATCTCTGGTGGCCCCTTTAATGACAATCCTAGTGACACCTTTAATGAATCTCTGGTGACCCCTTTAATTACTATCCGTGGCCCCTTTAATAACCCTCCGTGACCCCTTTAATGACCCTCCAGTTGACACCTTTAATGTCCCACTAGTGACCCCTGCAGTGGCCCACTAGTGACCCCTTTAATAACCCTCTGTTGACGACTTTATTGACCCTTTAGTGACCCCTGTAATGAATCTATTTAATTATTTGATGGATGCTTGATCCTTCATTTAAGTTTAACTGAACTGACAGAAAGTACGTAAATAAAAATTGTTTTCTTTAAGCATGTTTACAAAAATGTGTAACTGATTTCATCAGAAACCAAGGCTTTTATTAAAGAAAGCAACTTTTATTTATATACTAAGCTAAACAACTGTTAGGGTTGTTTAGCCCCCCCCCCCCCCCCCCCCCCCCCCGAAGAGATGCCTGGAAGAAACTCTGATTTTGAGGGGCTGGAATAGATTAATCATTAAAGGCACTTTATATATAGATATAATTTCAGTTGGGGAAAATAAATTGCTTTGAGATACAAAATTTTTTTTGGCAAACTAACAATGTTACGAAGTAAATAAACCTGTATCTAGATCTAGAGATACCACTAAAATGGCACTCAATTACATTATCACCACTGTATTATTATATTATTATTATAATATTAAATTTTAGCCTATAAGTTATTAAGTTATTATTATTATTGCTTATATTACTATAGGCCTACTATACGCCCTAATAATAATAATAATTTTACTTATGAAAAATTTAACAAAAACTTGTTTAGCCCCCCCCCCCTATCTAGATCTATTAGTTTATTATATTATTAATTTATTATTAGGTAGGCCCTAATTAAAATTATATTATTAAGCTGATTTTTTTGGAACAAATTAATTAGTAATACGGCCGATATCTAGATCTATAAACTAGAAAGTTTATAATAAAGTATTAAAGTATTATTATAAAGTAACATTATAAAGTAATATAAAGTTATAAATTTTAAAAAAATTAGACAATGACGTCTAGATTCTAGATCTAGATCTAGCCCCTAAATATAATAAATAATATAATATTATTAAATTTATATATAGGCTATTATTAGGCCTAGATTCTAGATCTAGGCCTAATAATAAAAATATAAAAAAAAGTACTCACGCAGCACCTGCCATCATTATTAAACAAATGAGAGGAAGTTCTTCTTAATAATCATTGGAGCTTAAAATTGTTATGAAGTCTGCTGTTTTTTCATTGTGTTAATACTCTGATACAAAAACATAACAATCCAATGTCCAATAATCTTGTTCATATTGCTAGCAGAATATCTTTTTCTTTAAATTCGAAACCGGATATTATTTTAAAATCAAGGGGAGAAACTATGAAATATAAAATATGTTGTCATTAGTTACTTGCGAGGCACTTCCTGTTTAGGATAGCGACGCCGAGTAAATTGTGAGCCTGTCTCGAGAGACAAAACCAAACACAAAATCTGACGCGAAAATGCCTCCTAAGCAGCAGCCGAAAACAAAGGTAAATCGGGAAAATCTAATTCACTCTGCACCTAAACGCACTTTCATTAGACATGTTAACTTAGACAATCCAAATAAAAAGTCAAACTCTTTTGACTTGAGATTTTCATTTGACGTGAAATTCCATAAACTTTGTTATAATTTTTTATGAATTTATATTTCTACAACAACTTTATTGTATTTTAAAATTATTTATCCTTAGAGAAACTTATAAACTCAAACAAATTTTAATTTGAAAATTTCATATTCTTGAAAATGGTAGGCTAATTAAAAGGTTATTCTTTAATAACTAGCTTAAAAATTTAAATACTGATATACCCAGAATCTAGTATATTCACTTGGTTTATCTCAGATATCAGTCAGTGTTTCTTCTGGGGATTTCCTTCCCCCCACTCCCCCCCCCCCCCCCTCCATCATCAAGAACCCCCATCCCTTTGACAATTTCAAAATGCCTGAAAAAAACTTTAATCTGTGATGTATTTAGACTTCAGACCATAGTATTAAGTCCCATATTTAGTAGGCATATTTTTTTACGCTTGTGTATAAGACCCCCCGGTGTAAATGCAGGTAAACTAGGTATACCTATACTCTGTTGCATCTTCATCCCCCAATTTAAATGTCCCCCACCCAGTGCAGTTGGTGTAATAGGGTACACACTAGTATAGTTATTGGTATCTATTCTCTGTAGCCTAAGCCTAACCTTCTAACCTAACTTATAGTTGGGCAGGTTCTGACTGTTTGAATAATTTTCTATTGTTGGGTTTGCCTACCCCCTCAATGTTGCGATAAATCTCTAAAAATTGGTGGGGAGGGGGGAGGGGGTTTCAAGAGGATATTGTGAAACAGAATAAATTTTGTAATTTATATATAAATATTTATATATAAATGAAAACCAATACTTTTATTTTATTTATTGTTAATGTTATGTGTGGGGATAGGTGAAACTTAGGATGGGGATGGGGGAGGATTAGAAAGATTAACAGAAAGTATACAAACTATTTTTAATAAGATGGTAGGTAGGCTTGTATATTACTTTGTCTTTCTGTCTCCAACTGTTTAAAAAAACACCTGTATAATGTTCTATGTCGCCAGAATAACACTATTTTAATTGTTTTTAACAGGCTGGTACAACTGTAGAAAGAAAGCGTTCGAAGCGAGTAGTAAGTATTGTAAAAATATTTTGAGTAATTATAATGAGAGGTCAACAAAAGCATGACCCCCTACTCTAACTCTAACTGTTAGCCACTGTAAAATCTTAATATGGGCATGTATTTGATTAGATCACCTAATACGACTTTAGTATATGGACTTAAAACAGTCCTGTGAAATACTTTGTATAGTATAATTGGCTTGACACTATTTGACAAGATGTTTCAGCTTGTATTTTGAACTAGTTGGGAGTAAACCTACAGTCTCTTGTTACTTTCAGGTTTCATGCATGGTGACTATTACTAGGCCACACCATTGCTTTGTACAATAGTTAGAAAATCTCTAAATTAGAATAGGCCTAATTAAAAATCTTGTTTTAACTTGTGACCAATGCAAAAAAAAACACGCCCACCCATCACATATTGAACAATAATGCAGTTTCACATTTACCCATCATATATCAGCCTTGTTGTCAATGTAAACAATGATGCGCATTCACACCAAACCAACACACTGTTGCACATAGCACACTACAAAATGTTGACTCATTTCCTCCAAGCCTTACTGGAGGGATCTGATGAATATGACTCCACTATAAAAAAAAATGTTACCTAAATACAATGAATGTTATAGACAGGCAATATATAAACAATAAAAAAAAATTTTATCTGAAGACAATCAATGTTATAGACAGGACAATCGGTATAAATTTTTAATATTTATTTCCAGGATGTCGATGATATGACTGAAACAGGTGAAGGGACGGAGCAAGATGATTGGATGCAGGTAAAACTGTTGACATGATACCCACATTTGGCAGGTAAAACTGTTGACATGTTACCCACATTTGGCAGGTAAAACTGTTGACATGTTACCCACATTTGGCAGGTAAAACTGTTGACATGTTACCCACATTTGGCAGGTAAAACTGTTGACATGTTACCCACATTTGATGCAAATGTTGAATCATTTTGTTTCTGTATGAAAAAAACTTTAGCAATGTCTGGCACTTTGGTTCAGCAAATTTGTAATTGACCTTTAACCTTTTCTCCCAACAGACAAAGACCCTAGTGAAGCCCGAAGATCAGCTGGATCTGACTGAGGCTGTAAGTTGCTCTTAATTAGCAGGCTGTTTTAATTGCTTTCATTAGTTTGTAAATAGCAGCTTGTCTTAATGGTTTCATTGGTCTGTAAAAGCAGGTTGTCTTAATGGTGCAAAATAGATTTGTTCAATTGATTTCATTTGTTTGTAAATAGCAGATAGTTTTAAATGTTGCCTTTGGTCAGTGTCCCGATCCTAACAAGGCTATATTAATGGTGTCAGCTCTGATGAAAAGGATTTTGAAATTACTACAGTATTGACTTGTTACTCTAAGTGACATGCTGTAATTGATCCCATATTTATGTATGATGTATGTTTAACTTAATGATATGTTAATTAATGATGCATGTTTAACTTTGTGATATGTTAGTTTATGATTTTTGTTTAACTTTATGATATGTTAATTTATGATGCTTGTTTAACTTAATGATGTTCATTTATGATGCACGTTTAACTTTGTGACATATGAATCTATGATGGTAGATTTAACTGAACTCTGCTAATTGTTTGTTTACTCCTGCAGGAACTGAAAGAAGAATTTACAAGAATATTGACTGCAAACAATCCTCATGCCCCGCAAAACATTGTGCGCTACAGCTTTAAGGTGAAGGCCATTCATTCTAAACAAACTTATTAAGTAATTGACCTAAAAACAAAACATGTCCAAAGTTCTATTTTAGTCTTCAAAGCCAGTTATATGCTTTTTCTACTCTTTTGAACTCGGATTTAAAAATGTTAGATAATAATTTCATTATTGATATTGTTATTTTTTTTTTTACATGCTCAATAATTTTAGGCAAAGAATTTTTTATTTTTGTCAATTTGTTTTTTACTTTATAAAGTATGCAAATATATGTAATTTTTACAAATTTTAATTGTTCCTCCTAATGCAGCATTTCAAGTTTTTTTTTTCAAAACTCACGTTGCAAATAAAAACTATTTTCCCAGGAGCGTCAGTTCAAACAGATATCAAGTGTTGACCAACTGGCTGTACACTTCAGCATGGATGGCAACCTACTGCATAAAGAGTCAGAGGAGGCCAAAAGACAACTCAACAAAACTAGCATGATGCCAGAACACAAAACCGGTTGGTGCTTTCAACATTCAGTGTCCAACAATATACACGATATAAAATAAAATGTTATTTCAAGAGTGTCTAACAATATATACGATATAAAAAATAAAACATGTTCTTTCAACATTCAGTGTCCAACAATATCTGAGATATAAAATAAAATGTTATTTCAACAGTGTCTAACAATATCTGAGATATAAAATTAAACGTTATTTCAACAGTATCCAACAATATCTGATATATAAATTAAAACATGTTCTTTCAACATTTAGTGTCCAACAATATATGAGATATAAAATAAAACATGTTCATGTACAAAGGTAGACTTACCTGTAACTAACCTTATACAAAAAACATAATGGAGGCCACAGATCCCTTAAACTTAATGCACCGTTTCTGGCTGATTTCTCTACTACATTCATTTATTAATTAAAAACTTAATGCACCTTTTGTAATTACAAACTTAATGCACCTTTTGTAATTACAAACTTAATGCACCTTTTAAGGCTGATTTCTCTTTCCAACTTAGGTTCTACATAATATATTTTAAATTTTAAATATTGAATCTAAATAGAAATTTTGTAAAAAGGAATAACAAATATGAACTTTTGTTAGGTTTGCACAAAAATTAAGATTTAATTATGATTTTAAATAGTTAAAAATTCATGCGATAATTCTTTCATTTTAACATCCATTAAAGAATCGATGACTGAAGCCCAGGAAGTGACTGTGGCAGAACCAACAGGTGAGGAGGTGACTGAGGAGGCTGGGGCTGAGGTGGAGGCCAAAGATGATGCTGGAGACGAAGGGCCAGCTCAACCTGCTGCTGCCCCCAAGGGCAAGGGCGAGAAAAAACTGACCAATCAGTTTAATTTCAGCGAGAGAGCTTCACAGACCTACAACAATCCATTCAGGGTGAGTCAATGAGATGCAGATGGTAGAGTATGGGATGGTGAAGGCGTTAGTGTTGTGATGTTAGATATGCTAGTGATGTTATGTGTTGTGTTGTGATGTGATTTTAATTGTGCCAGTGATGTGATGTTACTTGTGCTAGTGCTCTGGTGTTACTTGTGTAAGTGATGTGATATTAGATGTGTTGTGATGTTAAATGTGTTGTGTTGTGATGTGATGTTAAATGTGTTGTATTGTGAAGTTACTTGTGCTAGTGATGTGATGTTAGACATGTTAGTTATGTGATATTAGATGTGTCGTGTTGTGATGTTAGATGTACTAGTGCTATGATTTAACATTTTTAGAACATTATTAGAACATTGATATTATGTACTGATTGATTGATCTACATCCAATCATTTCTTATTGATTGTTTAATCATCAGGACCGAGGAACTGTCACTGAGCCCCCTCCCCGATCATCTTTTGCCGCTAATGTCACTCAGTGGGAAATATATGATGCCTACCAAGAAGATTTTGAAAAACAGGTTCAGTGATTTCATTCTTGTAGATTAGTTATTCTCAAAATTCAGAGTTGGACCCTGCATTTTAGTTGCTCTGTGTTTGTTGTATTGACTTTTAAGATTCTACAACTTAGTTATATTTCATTACATAGACATTTGTTGGTGGCTAAAGGTTACTGATACGTTGTTTTATATTGCAGGAAAAAACAAAAGAAAAGAAAGTAGTACCAGGAAGAAAAGATGAAGGAAGGACAAAGAAAAAATTTACAATTTCTGAGTCCTCTGTACGTACAAAAGTTTTAGCTAACTAGTTGTAAAAAGTTGTGGTTAATTAGTTGTGAAAGTTGTGGTTAATTAGTTGTAAAAGTTGTGGATAATTAGTTGTCAAAAGTTGTGGCTAATTAGTTGTAAAAAGTTGTGGGTAATTAGTTGTAAAAAGTTGTGGCTAATTAGTTGTAAAATTAGTTGTTTACATTTTCTTCTAGGGCGATGACATTACACGGGTAGAAACAGCAGCAAAAATTGTGGAACGCATGGTCAATCAAAACACATATGATGACATAGCTCAAGGTTTGTCTTTAAAAGTCTTGTCATATTTTTTAAGACATTTCAATCCTATTACCTAAAGATGTAATATATTAATACTAATTAAAATATATTAATATGAAGACAGTTTTTAAGTATTAGGGAGATGTATCTACTTACTGATATCTGACAGATTTTAAATATTGTATGATGTATCTATTTACTGATATCTGACAGATTTTAAATATTATATGATGTATCTACTGATATCTGACAGATTTTAAATATTGTATGATGTATCTACTTACTGATATCTGACAGATTTTAAATATTGGGAGGATGTATCGGATGAATACAGAGACCAAGAAGGCACCCTGCTACCTCTTTGGAAATTCTCTTTTGAGAAAGCCAAAAAATTGGCAATCACTTCAGTTTGTTGGAGTCCGATGTATAAAGACCTCTTTGCTGTTTCATGCGGATCTTGTTAGTTGTTTTTTCTACATATGGTTTAATAACAAAATCGTATAGAATTTAGGCAAATCTTTTTGTATATTTCTTTTCAGTTTTTCATTTATTATTCTTAAAATAGACTGCTGCTCTAGGTTTAACTTTTTAAATAAAATAACAGAATAACTTATTAAAGTATTAAAATTTAATACAGTAAAAAATACAAAATTATAATTTTTTTTTTAAATTCTTCATCAGATGATTTTATGAAGCAAGGAAGCGGTTTGATTATATTCTGGACCATGAAGAACCCTTCTTACCCTGAATGTTTCTTTGAGACTGACAGTGGAGTAATGTGTCTTGATATTCACCCCCAACATCCCCACCTCATCACTGCTGGTTTCTATGATGGTAGTGTTGCCGTCTTCAGCGCACTTGAAAGAAAGGAAGGCCCCATCCACAGGTGCACTGCAAAAAATGGCAAACACACGGACCCTGTGTGGCAGGTATGGTTACCCCACCACTCTAATTCTTTTAAACATCAACAAATATTTGATCACCCTAACTCTGTTAAACATCAAGAAATATTTGATCACCCCATCACTCTAATTCTGTTAAACATCAAGAAATATTTGATCACCGCAACACCCTAACTCTGTTAAACATCAAGAAATATTCAATCACAAAATATGTTGTCCAATGTTATTTATTATTCTTGTACTAGGTTCGCTGGCAAAAAGATGATGCTGACAACAATATGAATTTCTACTCAATTTCTTCAGACGGCAGGATCTGCTTATGGACAATACTTAAAGTAATTCACTCTAGACGTTTATGTCACAAGTAGATCAGACTTAATGTTATATGTCACAATATTTAAACATTAAATGTGTACAAGCAACATACCTCTAATATAGATATGTACAAGTAACATACCTCTAATATAAATATTTACAAGCAACACACCTCTAATATAAATATTTACAAGTAACACACCTCTAATATAAATATGTTCTAGCAACATACCTCTAATATAAATATGTACACTACAGAATGAGATGATATTTCAAGATGTCATACGTCTGTTGTTGCCTGATGTCTCAGCTGAGGGACCAGATGGTATCAAAGTACCAACCACAGGTGAGGCGCTGTTGTGTTGCTGCAGTTGTAGGAAATAAACAACACTCTAGTAATCATAGACCAGCCGCTGTTGTGTAGCTGCAGTTGTAGAAATTAACAATAATACATTTAAAATCCTGCCTACTCGAGTCATCATAAACTAGCCACTGTTGTGTAGCTTTGGCAGTGTGAAATACACAATAATACGTTTAAAATACATTCTACTCTAAAGTAGATAACTTAAAATACAATCTACTTTAGTGATCATAAGATATTGGGTTTCACTGTTCTACAAGTGAGATACTTTATACTAATTTAAAGATGTATTGTACAAATTACGCTACATGTTATGGTGTGGTATGCTGTAGTCAGACAGTAGAGCACACAACTGATTGGCTGAAAACCTCAGGTTCATATCCCAGGCTCAAATCTGTAGGATATCCCTGAATCTACCCAGTTTTAATGAGTACCTGTCTTGCATTAGGAAAAGTAGGGCATCTGGGCATAGAACTGATCACCCTATCCTTTTATGTCGAGGTCAATAAAACAGTATAACTCTACTTCTTCTGTCTGGTCCAAAAAGATAACTTTGTTATAGTACAGTACAGGAGATCTATTTATAAGACAATTATGTGCTTTCTTATGTTGGTTTCACCAGGCTGTGGGACAGCTTTTGATTTCCACCAACAAAAGGATTATCTGTTCTTGGTTGGCACAGAGGAAGGAAAAGTCCACATTTGCTCCAAGGCGTACACAAGTCATTTTATTGACACCATAGACGCACACAATATGGCAGTGTACAAGGTAAATTAACTCGATTTTCAAACATTAAAATAGAATTCAAATACTTAATTCGTTAAGAGCGTCCCAGACTTTAAAAAATGCAGTTTAAAATTAAGTGTCGTAAAGTGGCTTATAAGGTAAATAAGCCCGCGATTTTGAAAAATAAATTGTAAAATATGCTTCTTTTCTTATTAAAAATTTTAAGTTATTGTGTATTTTATAGTTTAGGAATTAAAATTTTAACATCTGAAGGTGAGAAATGTTTATGAAATAGTTCATCTGCTCTGTGTGTGGGGAAAGTGTGGTCACACTATGCTTAGTTCTTCTTTACTGCTGTTGATGAATCTAACCCTAAACTGTCACGATAGTTGTTTCTACTCTACACTTGACCATACCCTTAATCTAGGAAAATTAAATTGCAAATGCTTTTTAAAATAATTTATTGTTTATCATCTGTTCTAATGCTTTTAAAAATAATTTGTTGTCATCGGTTCTTACAATTCTATAAACTTTAGGTATGTTGGAATCGCTTCCACCCTAAAATCTTCATCACATGCAGTGCAGATTGGACTGTTAAAATCTGGGAAATGAAGGATACTATGGAGGCTCATGATAAAAATGAAATGAGGTAAGACTGTATGATAGCTGTATGATAGGTTCTGATGATAATCTAAAGTATGAATTACAGGGCATTGGTGAAAATGCTGAAAAGCAAAATTTTAGTAATGACTTTTTAAAATAAATTCTTCATTTTGTCATTTGATCTAAACTGTTTCTTTGCCAGGAAACCACTGTTCTCATTTGACTTGAACAACTCAGTTGGAGATGTGGCGTGGGCCCCGTACTCCTCTACAGTGTTTGCTGCAGTCACTTCAGATGGCAAGGTCAGCCACAAAGTTGGGGGTAATGGAGGGGTCTGGGAATAGAGGAGGGGTCTGGGAATAGAAGAGGGGTCTGAGGGGTCTGGGAATAGAGGAGGGGTCTGGGAATAGAGGGGGGTCTGGGAATAGAGGAGGGGTCTGGGAATAGTGGAGGGGTCTGGGAATATAGGGGGGGTCTGAGGGGTCTGGGAATAGAGGAGGGGTCTGGGAATAGAGGAGGGGTCTAGGGATAGAGGAGGGGTCTGAGGGGTCTGGGAATAGAGGAGGGGTCTGGGAATAGTGGAGGGGTCTGGGAATAGAGGAGGGGTCTGGGAATAGAGGAGGGGTCTGGGAATAGTGGAGGGGTCTGGGAATAGAGGGGGGTCTGAGGGGTCTGGGAATAGAGGAGGGGTCTGGGAATAGAGGAGGGGTCTGGGGGGTCTGGGAATAGAGGAGGGGTCTGGGAATAGAGGAGGGGTCTAGGGATAGAGGAGGGGTCTGAGGGGTCTGGGAATAGAGGAGGGGTCTGGGAATAGTGGAGGGGTCTGGGAATAGAGGAGGGGTCTGGGAATAGAGGAGGGGTCTGGGAATAGAGGGGGGTCTGAGGTGTCTGGGAATAGAGGAGGGGTCTGGGAATAGAGGAGGGGTCTGGGAATAGAGGGGGGTCTGGGAATAGAGGAGGGGTCTGGGAATAGTGGAGGGGTCTGGGAATAGAGGGGGGTCTGAGGGGTCTGGGAATAGAGGAGGGGTCTGTGAATAGAGGAGGGGTCTAGGGATAGAGGAGGGGTCTGAGGGGTCTGGGAATAGAGGAGGGGTCTGGGAATAGTGGAGGGGTCTGCGAATAGAGGAGGGGTCTGGGAATAGAGGAGGGGTCTGGGAATAGTGGAGGGGTCTGGGAATAGAGGGGGGTCTGAGGGTCTGGGAATAGAGGAGGGGTCTGGGGATAGAGGAGGGGTCTGAGGGGTCTGGGAATAGAGGAGGGGTCTGGGAATAGAGGAGGGGTCTAGGGATAGAGGAGGGGTCTGAGGGGTCTGGGAATAGAGGAGGGGTCTGGGAATAGTGGAGGGGTCTGGGAATAGAGGAGGGGTCTGGGAATAGAGGAGGGGTCTGGGAATAGAGGGGGGTCTGAGGGGTCTGGGAATAGAGGAGGGGTCTGGGAATAGAGGAGGGGTCTGGGGATAGAGGAGGGGTCTGAGGGGTCTGGGAATAGAGGAGGGGTCTGGGAATAGAGGAGGGGTCTGGGAATAGTGGAGGGGTCTGGGAATAGAGGAGGGGTCTGGGAATAGAGGAGGGGTCTGAGAGGGTCTGGGAATAGTGGAGGGGTCTGGGAATAGTGGAGGGGTCTGGGAATAGAGGAGGGGTCTGAGGGGTCTGGGAATAGAGGAGGGGTCTGATGGGTCTGGGAATAGAGGAGGGGTCTGAGTGGTCTGGGAATAGAGGAGGGGTCTGAGAGGGTCTGGGAATAGTGGAGGGGTCTGGGAATAGTGGAGGGGTCTGGGAATAGTGGAGGGGTCTGGGAATAGAGGAGGGGTCTGGGAATAGAGGAGGGGTCTGGGAATAGTGGAGGGGTTTGGGAATAGAGGAGGGGGTCTGGGGGGTCTGGGAATAGTGGAGGGGTCTGGGAATAGAGGAGGGGTCTGGGAATAGCGGAGGGGTCTGGGAATAGAGGAGGGGTCTGAGGGGTCTGGGAATAGTGGAGGGGTCTGGGAATAGTGGAGGGGTCTGGGAATAGAGGAGGGGTCTGGGAATAGTGGAGGGGTCTGGGAATAGAGGAGGGGTCTGAGGGGTCTGGGAATAGAGGAGGGGTCTGGGAATAGTGGAGGGGTCTGGGAATAGAGGAGGGGTCTGACGGGTCTGGGAATAGAGGGGGGTCTGGGAATAGAGGAGGGGTCTGGGAATAGAGTAGGGGTCTGGGAATAGAGGAGGGATCTGAGGGGTCTGGGAATAGAGGAGGGGTCTGGGAATAGAGGAGGGGTCTGGGGATAGAGGAGGGGTCTGTGGCAAATGAAATTTCACTTAAATAGTTGTGGATAGTCTTGTGGTCTGACAAAAAATCAGTCACAGGGGAGGGACTGAAGCTTACTATGATGGGATACCTCATGAAGCAAATAATGATTGTGTTATAAAAGTGTGTATGAAAGTATATAATTTGTTTCCAGCATACATTGCCATGTGTTTGTATCTAAATCCTCCAGGCATTTGTCTATGACTTGAACATCAATAAGTATGAGCCTCTCTGTGAGCAAATGGTTGCCCAGAAAAAGAAAACAAAGCTGACACATGTAGACTTCAACCCGACCTACCCCATTGTGGTCGTGGGGGATGACAGGGGCAGTGTGGTCAGCTTAAAACTTTCACCAAATCTCAGGAAAATGAAGGCTGTGAGTGTCTTTTTTTATAATTCTTATTTAATCTGATGTTTGGCTAATCCGTATTTAATATAGTTACATGTAATTTTTATTCAGTTTTTTTAAGGTAAATGTTTAATAAAAATGTTAGAATATTTTATTTTAATAAATTTTTATCAAGTTTATTTTAGAAATGTTTACACTTAGTAGATCTAAATATTATAACTACATAGTTTGTTAGATTTTGCTACGACCACTACACATCAATATGAAATCATCTTTTAAAATCTCATTGCCAACTGAAAAGATATTGCTGCTTGTGGAGTAGTTAAGTAATTTTCCCCCAGACTCTGATAGATGAAGCAGAGTTTACCTGTTTCCATCACATTAACATTTAAAACTGTTATGTACTGCATGATTAGCCTATTTTAGTTAAGGTGAACTCTACTTCAACTGTGCTATCGACCACTTCAAAAATTAACTTAACAAGTTATTACTTGACAAATTAGTTGCCTCCCATAGATAAGCTCTCTAATTTTGTTCTGTGAACTATTACACAATGCTCAGAATGATTCTACTCTTAGGAGAAGAAAGGGGCACCCCCACCAGATGAGGCCACCAAAGTTCAAAGAGAAATTGAAAAGCTGGAAAAGATTTTGTCCATGGTTAGAGAACAGCCCACTGAAGCCACTCACAACAAGGATCACTAGAAAAAGATTCTTGACAATTTCTCAACAGTATTTTAAAAATTACACTAAAAGATAGTAAGGACTTAAAAAGCATACAAGAAGATTCCAACTTAAAAATGTGTGCATAATATCATATACTACAGATTTTATAAATATTTAACTGGACTTAAAGGATGTTGACTTAAGTTATATGTTTATACCTTACCGTTACTCATTTAAACGTTTTCACCAGACATCATAAGAATATTGTTCCCCATCATAGAAACAATTTTATACATTTTGTATTTGTTTCAGCTGCTTTTTTGGTTTTTATAAACATTTAAATTCACTCCAATTTGAACCTACTGTGTATATATTTTAATAGAACTATCAATTTTAGAAGTGTTTAAAAAAATTAAAATTTGAAGCTTAAATATATTGGTAAAGTAATTTTTTTAAATTAGGAATTTTTTTTTAAAAAGAGATTTAATTTTAAATTGTAGTCATGTGGTGAAATAAAAATTTCTTGAAATGATCTTTGAAATGGTTTCATTAACATAATGTACTAGTTCTACAGTTTGAGCATTTGTTTATATGAAATTTCTGAAGTTGTTGCAATTTATTTGGCTGGGTCATTTCCTTTTGATTAAATTTCAAATTGAAATCAGTTGCTGGGCCTTTCCCTATAGGCTACATGCTATAAACTTAAATGTATATAGCCTTATTATTTTTCTGATCTATTGTATGCTGCACCAAAGTATTTATGTATTGAACTTATTTCAGTACGTTCAATAAAAAACACCCTAAAGACTTCTTTCATTTTCTGTAAGCTGAATCAATACCATTTCTACCTTCAAAACTTAAACCCATAGCTTTCACTATGCCTGATAACTACCATGATTATCTCCTTTCATAGATTTTTCCACTACACATGTAGGTTTTTTATCACAACAAAATACAAAACCACTAGACCATTAATACAGCCTTGCAGATTAGTTATCAAAGAGGACAAGATTATTTGTTATTTAAACATTTTATTCTACATATATTTTTTAAAATATGGTGACTCGTCACTATTTAACGTCTGGTTGGCAAAGGTCTCTAGTTGATGGGAAACTAAACAACCTACTGTGCTACAAGGGATGCCAATGTGAAATGCACTTGAAATCTAACAGGAAGAGATAATCTTAGCATGTAATGCAGATTTAGGTAGATTGTCAGGTGACTGAAGAGGGGATCACAAACCTGTTAAATTATTTGCAGATTTTTAAACTGAGATCTTTCTGACATGAGATGTGTCAACACTCTACACTTATTCATTAATTGGTATGATTTACCAAGTCTTTAAAATGATAAATTACACACTACGTTCCAAAATGTTTTTAAACCTTCCCAGCACGTATACCGACAGTTGACCAATTACTGTCGACTATGTATTTTAGTAACCATCTATGCAATTGGCATAGTTTGGCTACAAGTGAAGAGGAAAGTATTTTACACGTGTGTATTGGGAATATTTACAATTGTAAAATTCGTGTTTTTTTAATCTGATCTTTGCCTATGACCTGTCTCGCGTAATTAAGCATTCTTTTGCTGCATTATCCTTATTCATACAAACAAATCAAACCCTATCTAACCCATTCTTATAGTCTTACATAATTAATAAAGAGAACAAGATAAACATTTAAAGATTTTATTTTATAAAAAATATTTGATTAAGTAGACAGGTTATTGCTGTTTCACGTCCGGTTGACTGGATACCTTGGCATTGGTCTCTAGTTGACTGGACACTTAACTAGAAGAGAAAAAATATATAATCTTTAATTCAACCTGTGTGTTAAAGCTGCAAAATTATAAAGAGAACTATCATTATTTGAATGCAAGTTTAAAGAAAATGTTCAAATAGAATGTTTTAAAGTAATAGAATCTAGTAATTACCATTGACTCACCAAAATTATTGTACATTAAAATTTGTTAGAACACTTGTTAGTTTTCAATGAAGACAGAACTGTGCTACTTTTTTCACACACTGCCATCTAATGTACTATACATTACTGGAGAATGTTCCTCTATTCACCTTTGGTTCAGGGATGGCTGAAACAAAAATACGAAGTCTACACAATCAGAGTGAAAACAATATAAATGTATTTATGGTGCTTGGCAATCTACCAGGTTATTAAAGAAAGTATAAAATTAGTGCAAAAATTATCAGTCCAAAAATTGCTGTTTAAATAATCATTTTGTAAAAGGCTATGGTCATGTACCTGTCTTTAAAATGGTAGCTGCAGGGGTTTATGCAAATATTTATTAAAAATTGTGGATGGCAACACTACCTGTTCCTTTTACTTCCTGACTCAAAAGTAGTTTCCCTTTGCATGTCACTATTTTAAGTTTCTTCCCTTGCTTTACCTCAATGCTCATTTGATCAACTATATTCTCTATATCCTGTATTGATGCGTCTTGTCCGAAATTCCTATTAAACAGATAAAAAAAAAAAGTAATACTCTACAGTAACATTGAACGAAATAGATTCTATGCCTGGAGATCTCATTCATGGCACCTGCAGAAATAAAGTGCTAAAATAAATGACAATGTTAAAACAGCTGTCAAAAATTGTTATAAAAAGCTGTGTTTAACCTACCTGTTGTAATGGTTCATTCTGTAACCTAAAAAAAAAAAAACTTCTAGAGAAAGAAACATGAAATACCTCAGCTTTATTACAAACCCCATGTTCAACTATCTTGTAGTTGCTGGATCTGGATATAGCTTGTCCTGATATATAATCCTGACAAAATACATGGAGTTATGTCCATCGAGACTTCCTAGAAAAGATAAAAATTGCATTGATAAATTAGAGTTAATGTCTAAACTAGTTTTCAAGAATAAAGTATAAAAAGGCTATGGTCAGTCTACTTTCAAGAAGATCCTGTTTTTTTTTTCTTGTAGCTTCTGTCCTTGGCTGTACCTGGTTTGTCCTAAGATCATGGTCAAGATGTGTGTCCTGAAAAGTACTTTGTTCTACACAAACTGTACTCAAAAGATTATCACGGATAGTTTGTTTGGGAGTGGGGGAGATTTCCTTCTGAAATAAAATTGGATGTAAAAGAAAAACGACATTAAATAAATAGATGTGTATAAACAATTTAAAAATGAAATAAAAATAGACTAATCAAACTACTTGCTTAAGGGAAGGAAGCTTGACAATAATTGTAGTTCAGTAAACTGAATAAGAGTTGTGCTTGTGATATTTCGTGGATCCTGAAGAAAGAATAATTGTGGAGTAATAAATTACATGAATAATACCCAGTAAAAGCACTGCTAATTAAAATGAAGTACTTACCTGTCCGATTTCATGCCTAGAGGAATGGATGTTCCAGACAAGGGAAGAAACTTGAAAACAGGGACATACCTCTACTTAGCTCCAAACACATCTCAACTGGCTCCTGTAGTTGTTTGTATTTTAAATAGGGGACGCTTGTTCATACATTTGAACATAAAATAATAAATTAGTTAAAACTACTTGCTAAACAATAAGCATATTGTTTGGCCTCCAAGATAAGGCAAGGGAAGGAAGCTTGAAAAAATGTGTAGTCAAGTAAACTGAATAAGAGTTGTGCTTGTGATATTTCGTAGATCCTGAAAGAAAACAATTGTGGAGAAATAAATTAGATGGAATAATATTTTCTGAAAACAATACCAATTAAAATTAAGTACTCACCCATCTGGAATGTGCATTCATCTTGGCATTGTATGAAATCAGCACAGGGAAGAAACCATGAAATCATGGATACCTCTGTAGTTGTGTGAACACACAGAGTCCTCTAAAAAAAAGTCTGTCATACAGTCATAATAAAAAAATAGGTGACATGGGAAGGGGGGGGGGGAGGAGGGAGGGGTTTGGGTGACTTCCATCAGGGCACATGTAAAAAAAAAGTGCAAAAATAAATTAGTCCATACACATGTCAAAAAGGCTGTCCAAAAGTATAAGGTTATGGTCAAACTACCTGTACAAATGTATAAGGTCAATGTTAAAACAGGTGTCAAAAATTTTAAAAAGCTGTATTTAACCTACCTGACTTAATGTATTCTGTAACCTAGAAAAAAAAAAATCAAGCTTATGGAAGGAAACAAGAAGTCAATACCTCAGCTTTATTACAAACCCCATGTTCAACTTTATCTTTTAGTTGTGGGATCTGGACATAGCTTGTCCTTATACAATCATGTCAAAATACATGGAGTTATGTTCATCGAGACTTCCTTTAGAAAAGATAAATTTGCATCGATAAATTAAAGTAAAATATCTAAACTAGTTTTCAAGAATAAACTATACAAAAGGCTATGGTCAGTCTACCTACAAGAATATCCTGTGTTTTTTTTTCTTCTTTTTCTTGTCCTTGACTGTACCTGGTTTGTCCTAAGTTCATGGTCAAGATTTTCTTGACCCTGAAAAGTAGTGTTTTACAAATTATACTAAAAGAGTGGGGGAGATTTCCTTTTGAAATAAATTTATATAAAAGACTTAATATAAAATTATAATTAGATGTGCATAAACAATTTGAAAATTAAATAAATTTGTTAATCAAACTACTTGCTTAAGCAAAATGAATATTTCTAGGCCGCCAACATTGAGAACCGAGGAAAGGAAGCTTGACAATAATTGAAGTCCAGTAAACTGAAATTAATTAACTGGGCTTATATTTCGTGAATCCTGAAAGGAAAGCAATAGTGATTTGTGGACTAATTACAATGATTAATCCCTTGTAAAAGCACTGCTAATTACAATTAAGTACGTACCTGTCTGCAACATGCATTCCTCTAGAAATGAAATCAGCCAAGGGAAGGAACTATGTAAACATTGACATCATGCTTTTGCTTTTCTTTAAACATCTCAACTGTGTTCTGACCACAACTTGCCCTATTGAAAAAAAAAAGTCACACTATCATAGTGGTGCGAGGGGGGGGGGGGGGTTCTTGGCGCATGACTTCCACCAGGGTGCCTGTAAAAAATTAAATAAAAAATATAGTGTGCACAAATTAGCAATCAGTACACATGTAACAAAGGGTGTGCAAAAGTATTATAAGGTTATGATCAAGCTACCTGTCCAAAACTATAAGGTTATGGTCAAGCTACCTGTCCAAAACTATAAGGTTATGGTCAAGCTACCTGTCCAAAACTATAAGGTTATGGTCAAGCTACCTGTCCAAAACTAAGGTTATGGTCAAGCTACCTGTTTAAAAGTATATGTTGGCATCACAATGTGAATTGTTTTTATAGAGTTTCTTCCCCTGGCTGAACATCTGAACCAAACAGTGTTCCATGTAGTTGTGATCTGACCAGTCAATGTACACAAGTTTAGTAGCCCTGTAAAGAAATACAAGAAAAAAAGGGATATATGTTGCCTGGGGAAGGGGGGGGGGGGGTCCATGGGGAAACTCAATCTTTAAAATTAATTGGAATTAACTTAAGTGTACAAACTAAAATGGCTCTATAATGAATTAAATGGTTAACATACCTTTCTGTTGCATTTCATTTTGGTCACATGAAACCACCCTAAGGAAGAGATAAAAAAAAAACAGACAATACCCAACTAAATTGTGCAGTTGTATAGACAATACCTCTTAGTCTTCTCCCATCTATCTCCTGTAGTTGTGTCCTGACCACAGCTTCACTTATAAAACAGTAGTCCTATACACAATCAGATGTGCCTGTGGGTGGGATTCAAGAAAAATGAGTTGTAAATAACACTAAACTTGAACGGACATGGAGATTACTTGCCCTTGATGTAGCTGTTCAAGCAATTTATTGTCC